CGGCTGGACGGCGCGTTCGTGCACAGGCCGCACAGAAAATCCCACCACGCCAGATTCGAGGTAGGACAGATGTTGTTTGCATTAGCCAAGGGAGTTAGCAGGGACCATTTGAACACCTGCGTAAGAAATAGCAAAGAGCATCAGGGCTCGCCTGGTATTATACGCACTAGGCAGTGCTGTATTTTAGCTCACCTCGGGCACTGACCAGCTAAGGGTCCGTCTTGTCATTGCAAGCTGAGCTGCAGTGCAATATGAACTACCACCTTCGCTCTGGGATTAAAGGTCACTTTGGCGCCAGGTCCCTCATGAGGACTGAAGGGTTACCTGCCCGAGTGCCCTTCTGTAACTGATGCGCGCTCCTGTCAAGATAGCAGAGGACTTGTTTCGTTTATGAAGCTGTGATGAAATAGCCTCTTGAGAAGAAAGAGTACAGAGAGATTAGTGGGCAAACCTAAAGCTCCAAAGGTGAAAAACATACGGGCTAAATATTTGCTAACGCTAATTTTACTCTGGTTAAGAAGTTTTCTGTGAACAATCCTAATCAAGCAGCACTAGGGAATAGGCGGTGCAGCGTGGGTTTGTAGCATTCAAGGGGGAAAGATGTATGCAGTAAGTTATTTCCTAGGCTTCTGCACAGTTTTTTAATTGTCTTTGCTAATACAAGCTGGGAGGAAGGTTGAAAAGGTAGTAACAGATGAGGCACAGAGCATGCCTGCTTTTCTGGAACATCCGTTGCATGTTAATATGAGCACATCTTACAGGAACTATTGTGATTGATTTTAATTTTTCTCTTTAGGGGAATAAAAACAACTCATGAAAGTGGAGAGAGTCATAAATGACAGACAGAGAAAGCAGTGCGCTGTTATCAAAGCCACTGCAAGGGCCTGTGGGCGGTTTATGTTATGGATGATATTCTTTCAGTTGGTCTTAGTCTCATGCATGCTCTGTTACCAGGTCTCCCAAGGGATCACCCGGAAAGTTACCATTCCTTCATGTGGAATAACTTCTTTAAGCATATTGACATCTTGGCAGAAAACGTTCACATTTTAGATGGAAATGCACCCGATCTGCAGGCAGAGTGTGACGCATTTGAGGATAAAATCAAATCAGCTGGAGGAATTGAACTCTTCGTTGGAGGTGAAAACCTGAAGGACTAGCGGTCTCTTAGCTGGTGGAGGAAAGGCAGTACCTTCTGCCAGTGTTATCTCATTTATTATCAGGAGAGTTCATTTAAAATGCAGTTCAGTGGGTTCGCAGGGAAAGCCACCCCATACACCGTCGCCGTGGGTGCTTATGTGTGCTGGCAGCCTTGTCATGTAAGGTACCACTCCCCCAATTTTAAGTATTTCAATCCAGTAAGTGAATTGCTCAGGAAACTATTAGCAGAAGAAACAGGCAGGGCTAGAAATGTACCCAATACAAAGTATATTACACTTGCCAGTGCACGCAGGAAACTGCTAGGAGTGGTCAGAGACCTCTGAGCCAGCAGGAGCTCAATGCAAGCTTTTCTCATCAGTTTGCCTTAAGATTCTGCCATCCATTTGTCCCAACACAATTGTTGTTGTTCCTACAAAGGGAAGAGTCTTTTTTGACTTCAGAGGGGGCTTTTGCTATCATCCCTACCAGGATCAAATTTAAGCTTGAGCAGAAAAATTGCAAGTGTTTTTCTCAGATCTGTATCTATTCCTGGAAGTATTGAATGCTTTCCTAACAGGAGTGCTGTTGGCTCTGCTTCCTACAATACCCATTACAGCCACTGATCTACTTGTCAAACTCTCTGTCACAGGTATTGGCCCAGACGGTCACATTGCCTTCAACGAGCCTGGATCAAGTTTGGTATCCAGGACGCGAGTGAAGACCTTGGCTATGGACACTATATTGGCTAATGCCAGGTTCTTTGACGGTGACCTCTCCAAAGTCCCCACAATGGCTTTGACGGTCGGAGTAGGCACTGTCATGGATGCCAGAGAGGTGAGGAGAAAAGCAGTGACTTCATACAGTAGCTCTTGAGCAGGGCTTCCTGGAGCAGCTAAAGATTTTCCAGTCTCAGAGCAGCAATGCACCCTGCTGGTATAGGCCAGCTTATGCTTTTCCTGCCACAGGCAGCTGAATACCTGATCCTCTTGTTCTCTTGCATCCTGTATCACTATGGAAAGGCTCTTGCTCTGTCTCCGATTTTTGCTCTACTAACACTTACATTTGTGTAACCCTGCAGGACAGTTGTTAGCCACAGTGAGCTAGAAAGGTTTGTGAGGATGTCTTTGGTTAAGAATCTCATCTGGGGAAATAACTGCAAGAATCAGATGTTTGACTTGATGTTACACCAGCAGATCATGAAAACCATATGGAATAGCTTTTAATTGAGTCTATACCTTGAAGTCTCAGCAGATGGGTGTCTGATGGGATCTCAAAGGATCCAAATCAGTAAAATGACCCACCAGGCTATGATTTAATTGACAAATAAAATGCAGCCAGAGCAAACAGAATTGTGATACAGTGAAGTGCCTCTGCAGAGGATGACAGAGCTATCCCCCTGTCAGGGACTGGGGCAGCACTCAGTTCATCAGGGTGTGGGTGTGCTCTCTCTGAACACATCGTCTAGACCCTGACCACCATCCTCTGTGTCTCGGAGTCCAGGTGATGATTCTTATCACAGGAGCCCATAAAGCCTTTGCTTTGTACAAAGCCATTGAAGAAGGTGTCAACCACATGTGGACAGTATCAGCGTTCCAGCAACACCCCAACACTGTGTTCGTGTGCGATGAGGATGCCACGCTGGAACTCAAAGTTAAGACTGTGAAATACTTTAAAGGTGAGTGTTTGACCAGACCAAGCAGCTGTTGTACTTCGTTCTTAAGTGGCACAAGCCATGCTTTGCATTAGATGTTTCTGTTTAATTAACTCCCAAAGGAGTACATTCCTTAAATGTACAGCTGAGATGTACAGTGATAATAAAAGTGCAAGGGGAATGCTTAACTGTGTGGACGTGGGAGCAAAGGAACAAGGACTCTAGTAATCCCCAATTTCATTAGCATCCCTGAATGAGAATTTTGCTTTATTATGTCTACTTAACTCATCTTTTTACTTGCTACATCAGGTTTAATGCTGGTCCACAACAAGCTTGTGGAACCCTTATACAGCATGAAGGAGACAGGAGCAGAAAGAAGCCAGACTAAGAAGCCATACAGTGATTAATCTCGCTGTTCAGAGTAGTGCTGAACCAGCTTTTCTGTTGAAAACCAGCTGTGAAAAGGGAATTGCTGCAGCAACTCATCTCGTATTTGTTCTTACATTAGCAAAATTATTATGTGCTTTCTTCTCTCCATTAAAAAGACAGATGCCAAACACCTGCCTTAATTAACCAAATGAGGATGGGATCCAGGCATTCCACAAACTTTCCCACTAACTTACTCTCTGATGGTAAAGTCCATGGGGAAGGAGTTGTTTAATCTACGAAGCAACTGTGATCATGGGGACTGAAGGCCCCAAAACTTAAATGTGAAGATACATCAAAGTACAATGTTACAGAAACCAAATGGGTAATCACTTTGGGATGTATTCCTTGCAGTTAGGACAAGTACCTTGTGCGTCATTCCCCCTCCACAAAACACTCCTATTTGATAGTAATTTAAAATGGGAACTGAGCTTGTTCAGCCTGAAGAAGAAAAAGCTTCAACATGACCTAATAGCAACATGCTTCATAGTTATGAGGAGGTCACCAAGAAGATGAAGCCAGGCTCTCCTGGGCAGTGCGCAGGGGGAAGACAAGAAGAGACAATGCGGTGTGAGTTGAGACAAGATGCTCAGACTGGATACAAGGAAAAAACCTACCCCTGAGGACAATCAAGCAGTGGGGCAGGTTCCCCTGAGAGGTGCAGCCTTTGTCCTCAAGACGTTTTCAAGACCTGACTGGATAACACCCTGGCTGAACCCTGCTTTGAGACAGATGTTGGACATCAGACCATCTAGGCAAAAGGGAGGCTACAGACAGCATTCATCAGTGCATTATTATAATGGAGTACCATTAGTGCAGTTAACAGTTAGTTTATGCATCTATATGATTATTTGCTGTCACACAAGAAGCCTTACATGTTCAGTTTCAGGGTCTAATTTTCTATGCCCTGGTGCTTTATGATGTACTACAGGAGGGTAGATTTGTTCAGGTGAAGCATAAATGACTTCTCACTGTGCTGCTCAGCACTCTGTTATTTGTGTCGACGCAGAGCCTGAAGCGTAAGTTCTCTCTCTCTCTTCCTGCTTCCAGTGCTTTACATTGCTACAAGGAAATGCCAAATAAGCCTCAAAGGAAAGACTCTGTTCCCTCTGGCTTCAGTCTATGTTTCATTACAGAAGCCCCACACAGGTGGACGACAGCCTGTGCTGGCAAGGCCCCACCAATTCTGAAACTTGATTCCTGGGTTTCCTATCAAATGCTATCACGTGAGGGTCGAGACAAACTGGGGAGCATTTATTTTCTCCATGCAGAAATTTTGTAAACCGTTGACCTATAATGTAGCTTTCTACAGTAAATGTCTTAATTTTTTTTCTAAATGGTCACATGTATCTGCCGCTCAGTCTCGCTGTGCTAGTGAAAGGTGGAGCAGTTTATGTGGCTGAATGGGACTCGTAATACCATCTTTGAACAGCGAAACACAACCTTCGAAGCATGAGAAAGACCTGTTAATTTGGATGAGATTTCTCCGTCACCTAGAACGAAAGCTGTATTGAAAGCAGTTGGGTAGAAGTAGCTACTGCTGCTCCCTACTTCAAGAGCTGCCTGCCTTGTCCGGTGTTTGCTGGCAGGTCTCTGCTGGGCACCTGCTATGGTTCTGTCCTGCCAGGCAGCAGCCATTTCATATAAAAAAGTGAAGATCTTTAAAGGAGAAAGGAGGAGGTCACCGCTGTCTACCTAGTACTACAAAGTGTCTGCAAATAATCAAATGGTCCTTCTGTGCATGCACAGAAATGGAGAAAGTGAGGTTTGCAAGGGGGGAGCGGAATGGAGCCACGTTACCAGTGTTGCCTGTCTTCCCCTCTGTCTGTGAAGACAGGTTCTGGGTTTAGCTCTTCTACCTTTGCAACACCAGCCGCTTGTCCTATGAGTGCAGTCACCTGCTTGTCCCCTCCTCAGAGGGTCCGTCCTCCTCTGCCTCACTGCATGAGAGCTCCAGCCCAGGGGTCCCTGGGTGCCCAGGATTCATAGGCATGGTGGTGACTACATCACTGTTCCTCCTCTCTCCACACGTTCTTGAAAGCAGAGGTAGTTCATTGCAGTATCTTCAAATACTTCATAGCACTTATGCTCTGGTAGCTCTGGCACACACCCCCAGCCAAGGCTTTTCATCCCAAGGTACTCTGGCATCCAGGCCCTGCCCTCAGCCCACCTCTGTCCTGGCAGAAGGGACCTGCCCAGCTTCCCGTCACTTTAAGAGATCCAACACCATCTCCTCCAGCCAGGCAGGAAGACGGGGTTTAAGCACACGCTTCTCCTTGTCACAAACACTCCCCATCTGCCCACATATGCAGCTTAGCGGGAGGAAAGCCCCCTCCAAAAGCTGGCAGCTTTCGGATTCAGCCTGTACAGTTAAAAATTGTGGCCACAGTGGAAACTACTGAGGGGGATTGCAGCTAAAAGCTGGCTCCATCCAATGCAGTGTTCCCAGAGTAGCGTCGTGGTAGTCACCGTCTGTCAGTTAGGGGCTTGCACCTCCCAGGGAAAACCAGGGCTCTTTGGGTGTGAGGGCGTGTCGCATACATAAACCTTCACACTTTTACCAGCAGAACACATCCTGTGTCAGCTTCACTTGAGAGCTTTAGGTGAGCCCAGGTCTGGCCCACATCATTCTACAGCCGCCCACGCGAGCGAGCGCCTCGGCCCTGCGGCACACAAGCACTAGAGGTGATCCGCACCCAGACGCAGAATGGAGCTCTGTCCCACGCACTGACCTGTGCTGCCATATACGTGCCACCGTGACGTCAAGCAGGGAGACAACTACGTTTACTGTCTTAAAGTGAATTTAGTGCATGTGAAAGGTGCAGGAAATACAATTTAAACCATACACAATGTAAACTTTCCC